GATTCATAATTTGGGAATAACTCGAAAAGGGTGTAATTTTTGACCGATTATACATATGAGTATTTGAAAGCTTACTAAATTCCCTACAAAATGAAAAAAACAAATATAGAAATCCATAACAGTTGTATCTGATAACATATTTTCTTTTCTTTTTTTATAGTTATATCCGGTTTATATTACTCTATTCCATCAAATTTATATTTGGCACATTTTTATAGTATGGATAAAATGTTGAAATGGGACAAATCGTACCGACCTTTTGGATTACTGAAAAACTTTAAATCTATTGTTGTAATTATTGTTTTTATCAAATATATTTTAGTAGAATTTTATTTTTTGTTCGCATCTTTAAAATTTCAAGGATATATATATTAATAATAAAATTCATAATATTGAGGAAAAAGCTTTTTTTACACTTTTATATATATATATATATATATATATATATATATATATACTTCATGCTTGAATCAATTAAATGAATTGAAGCATGGAATAAATATATAAGGGTAAAATAAATCCTTTTTCTTGATATTATAAATTTATTAGCAGATTTTCTTATTTAACAGAAAATAGTATAAAAGTATTTCTAAATCTATCCTATTTTGTGGGCGGGGTGGCCGAATGGGCTAAAGCGTGTGCACTGCACCGCCGTTGCCCGGCAACCTGACATATGAATCAAAGTTATAAAAACAGTCACGAGTTCGCGTCCTGGTGCCGGGGGAGTCTTAAATCCCCGCCCACACTCCCTGGCCCGGGAAAATCCCGTATAGCCTTAAAAGCGAGGAAGGGAAGGACCGAAAAAAAAAAAAAAATCTACCCTATTTTCTCTTCTGTTCTTCATTCGAAATTTAAAATTTCGGGCAATGACCCTTTTCTTTCTTAGACAGTATACATTGTATGAATAAGTAATTATTCTAGCTAATTTCAAAACATTTGGTTTTGTTAAATTAATTATTAAATTTGTTATATTGCTATAAATATGGAATGTTACATACTTCATTTTAAATAAAATATTATCTATATATAAGCTATTAGATATTTATCATTTTAAAAATTTCCTTAATTATTTTTAATGACAAAAGAAACATTTTTTTTTTTTTTTATTTTCTGTAAATACAGACTGCTAGGTCAAAACGTACCTTCCAGAGAACTAAATCCAAAGTATTTAGCCTTCATCAGTTATATAAAGACAATGTTTAGAAACTTTTGTAAACTTAGAGAAAAAAATAATATAATTATAGATTTAATGAAACTAGAAAGGGTTAACCTATGGATGGGTATAGATTATTATATTTATAAATTGATAACCTCAAACCTCAAAAACCAGGTTATCTATTGCTGAGAGTTTTGGTGTAACAACATTTGACAGACAGTAAGGAGCATTCCATGAAATTAAATTAACCGCAGGTTGGTTTAACATTCCATATCCGAACTACTTGTAACCTCCTTGGCCAGGAAGATTCTTTTCAATTTGGCTGGACTGACTGGAATTAGTTATCATATCTCCTTGTAGCGTGCTATTGGTATCGCTGAGGGTTCAGCTCCAGGCTGGAAGGGGGCCGTGGCGGGAGCGAAGAACCATTATCCTAATAGGCCTTTAATCTCTGTTGGTTTTTACCTGCTGGATCCTCCAGGACCTGTTTTTGTCCAGCCGGCCTCAGGTCCACAGCTAGGTGGTCTCCCCCTCTCTCAGTTCCATCAACTATAATATTACTCTTTATAGATTCTTATAGCGAGGATATTATTCTTAATACGTACACCTCATCAGTCTGTAGCTACCAAACAATGACACATCTTTAGTATTCCGTGTCTACAGATTGGAAGGTATCCATGTGAAATATTTCTATCCGTTTTTGATAAAATTTAGGTATTTATGGCAGGGCATAAAAATGAATCGCTAACTTTTATTTTTGATTAGTTTTGTGTTAATTCGGAACAAGGATTTTTTATTAAAGATTATAAGAAACCCCACATGTGGGGGGACAAATATGGTTCGGAGTTGCCATGGCCGACTCTAAATAGTGTGAATAGGTATACCTGCTTCTAAGATGTTTATTTTCATTACTTTTTTTTTCTTTTTTTAAAGATAATTCAATTCTATTTTATTCAATTTTTTTTATTCTATTATTACTGTTATTTATATTTTCTTCCTCCACTATGATATTTTATTTTGTTCTTATTTAGCTTTCTGATATTATTTTGAAATTACCTTATTTATTTATTTACTTTTTTTTTAAACTTGTAAATATGGTGTGGATGTGCTCTCATAACTCTATTATAAATGTCCTTTATTGAGAAAGATTGTAATATTTATCAATAAACAAATAATCCAGTAAAAAATATATGAGAATCAGGCAATTCGTTCAAGGCAACTGTATTTGTAATCTATATCCAATTACTACGTATTCTGCTTATAAAGTAAATTTTTTTGTTAAAAACTTTAATAAATAAAAATTAAACAGTGGTACAAGCACATCCAGTCCGGTCCCCTTTGATTACATCGTAAAATTTTAAAACTATATAAAAATACAAAATTAAGTAAATCGTTCAAAAACTTATTAAAATATTTATTGCATGAGTCGTTTCTCTTAGAAAGCTCATTTCACAACTAAAGGGTCATTTATTTATCACAAGCCATGACCCGCGGGACTTAGTGGACGCCTCAATATTAGTTATTTAAATGCAAAAGTATATTGGTTACATATAATTCTTAACATATATTCACTAAAATTTTCAAGTATTAGTAACTATTTTACCTTAATTTTTATTCAAAAAATCGATTTTATTTAATCAGCTTAGGTCTTGGTCTTGCAACAGTTAGGCGGTCTTGGTCTTGGTCTCGCAAAGTGTAAGACCAAGACCTATTTTGGGCAACACTACTCAATACGGTCCGCGGTCCTTAGTGTATGTCTCAATGTGACGCAAAATTTCGAATAAAATATATCTTCAGTATTATAAAAAATTTTGGTTACCATATTTGCTTGATTGAACTTTCAATCTCTATAACAGTTGTCCCTCCTAATCCTGAGTTAGAATATAATATTTTAAAATAAAAAAAAGGTAAAAAGACAAAAAAAAAGTTTTTAATAATTCTTTCATAAATAATTTCATTAAATGTCTTTTATTTATGTATTTAGTATAATGATAATACGATATCCATTAAGTACATCAAGTCCTGACTGGACTTCCAAAAGCTCTCTTGCTGAAGATGCTGATGGTTATCAGGGAAAGGTGGTGGATTGGTTGCCTTTAAGGTCAGGCCTGAAATAATGCCAGAAGAAAAAGCCGTAGAAGACGAGAACTCCGATGACGAAGATAAAGCTGGTGACTAAAAGCAACCAGACCGGCACTTTGGGAAAGATCCTGGGCATGGGTTCCATTGAGTTCCATTTTCCGTCGAGGGAGACTAAGGATTCTTGTCTAGGCGCTCTAATCGTTCGAGAAGTTGCAGAAGTTCTAGTCGATGTTTTCCGAGGCCTGCTCTGGCTTCTATTTTCTGTTTTCTTTCCTGGATCGAAAGGAAATAGTAATAATAATAAATTTTATTCCATAACACTACAAATAGACGATTTGACTTCTCTATAGAACTCCACTTCATTGGCAAAATTAGAATGATCATTGATTCATGAAGAGAATGAAACAAATTATCCAACAAGTGCTAAAGACTTCCTCTTGTATCAAATAAGAAAGAATTTCCTTAGTTTCAAGAAAGTGAGATCTAGATAAAATAACCATGTAAAAAAAAGTATACATATTTTTTATGTCGAATTTTTTAATATTTATTTTGCTCATTCAATATTGATTTTCTTACCCAATTTTCATTTAACTTATTTTATATGTTTTAGCAATTAATAAAATATATAATACAAAAAAATGTCAATTAGTATGAATAAATATTTAGTGACAAGAAATATAATTGCAAAATAGGACTTGCTTTTACAAGTCTTAACGCCAAAAAAGAACAAAAAAAATACATAATTGTTTTTATTAAGCTAAAACAAACCGAAAATCTCAATTTAATGTCAATTATGTTTTCCCTTCTTTTATAGGTTAAACCCGTTAGTACCCGAAATTGTTTATTAAATATACACGATATTTCTTAATGATATTTCCATATGCTTGTACACTGTCGATATATTGTGAGATTTTTACATACCTTTTCATTTCAAAGGTTAAAAATACAGATACCCAAATTACCTAAATAATTTATCGATATATCACATTACTTTTTAGTATGTTTGATTAAAAACAATTATTCTATTTGACTAAAAGTTTTAGGAATCTAAGAAACATTGTACCATTTAGTATCGATTTCATCCCATTCCATTGAACTATTAAAAACATAATTGTTAAGAGGGCTTTTGAAAAGCTGGAGGCTGTGTAAATATGGAAAGGAAGGTTACATTTGTACTATAATTGGCATTTATACTAAAAAGTTAAAATTTGTATAACAGGACATAGCACAGTTGTTAATTCAATTTTAAAACGAAGTGGTGGATGGAAATGTCCAGTTCCTATGGTCATCCTGAGGTAGTCTATAAAAAAAAAATATTTAGCGAAGAAACGTGCGATCAGTGAGATTTTTTTTTTCACCTGATTCTTTAATTTTACGTATGTTGGACTAAATGACTTAATATTTTTAACAGATGTCCTCTTAACCCGATTTTATATCTTATAGTTATAAAATAACAGTTATAATATCAATATCATAACATAATAGTTATAAAGTTTTAACCTCACCTTTTGCCATTGTATTGTAATAACAACACGTGTTGTAATTCACAAAGTTTTAACTGGTGTTATCTTTATATAAAGAATAAAAACTTTGAAATGAAAAAGAAACACTTCATAATGTACGTAAGAGCAACTAAAAAGAAAGAGAGGATTTCATTAAATAAGTATAAACTTTAACTGTACAATAACTTAACATTTGTTTATATCGATGTGTCAACCTTCATTTCAATTTGAAAAGTTAATGGAAGGAATCATAACAACTCATGAATTATATAGCAGATAAACACCAACATCAAAAAATGGTAAATTATTTTATTGTTTAAGTTGATTTCGAATAGTCACTTCTGCTACTAGATAATATACATTTGTAAGTAAAATTATTTATTTCTTTTTAGGTTTTCTAACCTTTTGAAGTCGGTTATCAATCCGAAACAACCCGAGTGTGTCCAAAAGTAGAGGAACTAGAACTCTTACATAAAGTTAACGTTAGATTATGTTAAGTTATCACGTTCAAATCTTTTGTATAAAATATTATTTATTATTAGGGGGGTATCCCCTGTGGATCAACTCCCACTTTACAAATTTTCATTTAATTACATACCGCCACTGTTAGCGCTAAAGGTCGTATGTAACAATATTAAATGTTTATTCTCTTAGAGCTAAAGGTGACATTTTGTAGTCTGCAACAGCTATAAGTAGGCTGTTAAATAGAAAAAAAGCCAAGGGAAATAATACTAATAAATCATAAAGAAATAATTAGACCTTTTGCACTAACAGTGGCGGTATGTGTTGAGCTCCTGTAATCTCCAACTCTCCTAATACAAAATAAATATTTTAGACAGAAATTTGTACGGGCAATAATCCGAATTGGGACTGTGCTGAAAAGTTGAGCACCTGCGAACTCCTACCCTCCTAATAATAAATAGAGATTTTCGCCCATCTGTTTTCGTTTCCCTGTTTTGCATAAGTAAAAGATTGTCCGATTTCAACGATTTTTTAGTAAAATAAACTTTTAAATAACCACACACAACATCGACAAAAAAGTGTATACCACCCCCGTAACTTTTTTTGCAGCTTCTTTTCGTAGAAGTATGTTTCATAGATAAATTTAAAGATCATCAAGCAGTAGACTTCAGCCAAGTTTCACTGAAATTGGTACATTCGTTTAAGCGCTACAGTCTGTACCAACACAGGTTTTTCGGTCAACATCTTGGAAGGAAAGGACGGATAGTAATGTCGAAGTAGGAGGATCATTCTCGGGTGACCTCTGACTTTGATTCCAAATTTGAAAAATATAGGTCCAGTAGTCTCGGAGCTGCAGACGGCAGACGGACAACAACATTTTTATTCGTTTCGAATTCTACGTATCGTGAAACGTAAAACCCCAAATTTTGAGAGGAGGTTAAGTTTTTGAATTTGTTGGTTGATTACAATGTTTCATAATTGAAAATAATAAACCAAAAGTAATGATCTATATTCTACATCATATAATTATAAATAACTAATATTATATAAATATAATATTTTTTCAAATAAATATAATCAAGAGTGTTTTCATGTAACCAGGAAATTAAAACTCAAACGCATTTACTTTAACTACGGAAGTTATCTCTAATTTAAAAACGCTGCAAATTATTTCACAATGGTTTATTATCTTCAAACAATTATACATCTAAAGTAACATTACCTTCCGAGTTACAAAGAAAAAAATAAACAAAAGGTGATTCCAATTATTGGACTAAACTGTTTTTCTTTAATCATTAGTAATATGCTAAAAAAAAATAAGCATTAGTTCAGTAACACATTTAAAACTTAAAAACCAAACCAAGGATATAACATTTGGAGTAGAACAATTTAAAAAAAATCCGGAGACCATATCTTTGCTCCTTATTGTCCGATTTTGACGATTTTTTTTTTTGATTTTTAAGAAATTTCGTAAACTTTTAAAAACCCATACAATATTAACCATAAAAAAGTAAAAACTTTTTGAGTTATTCGGAATTTAATTTTACCATCCCTCGTAACTTTTTTTCAGCTTCTTTTCCTTGAGGTATGTTATATAGATAAATTTACAGGGTATCGAGAAAATGATTTCGGCGAAGTTTCATTGAAATCGGTACATTCGTAAAGGAGCTACAGTCTATAACGCAGGTTTTTCGACTGCCATTATGAAAGTTAAAGGCGGAGAGTAATGTCGATGAAGGAGGTGACCTCTGATTTTATATCAAAATTTGAAAAAAATCGGTCCTGTAGTTTCGGAGAAAATGCGCGGACGGCGGACGGACAAAAAAATTTTTATTCGTTTTTCGAATTCTACGCGTCTTGAAACGTGAAACCTCAAATTTTGAGAGGGTGTTATGTTTTTGAATTTTTTGATCGATCACAATGTTTCATTATTGAAAATAATAAACTAAAAAAATAGCGAATAAATTAGTACAAAAAGTAGGAACTATAGGAAATACATTTGAAACACTCTTAATACCTAATTCCATTACTTACTTCTTCTCTGATAAAATTTAACAAATGGAAGCTAAGAAGCTGTGTGACAGGCCTCAACTTAATTCACAAGGATTTAACCTGATTTGGTTAACAACAGATAGGAATAAAGTAGAGCAACATCTACCGTATCCTTGGTCTGTCGCGATGCGGCGATGGGTCAGTTACCCTGCTTCTAGACCTTAGATTAGCCGACAGAGGACAATACATCGCAGAGGACAGGCTTATTTGAATACGCTCCTCCTACCAACTCCTTTTCAATGTAAATATCCTGAATAATAGGGCGTTTAGGAGGAGCTATAGAGGTTGGCAACTTTCACTGGCTGTTGCATCAAAGAGCGCGCGCAGCTTCCTTCTACGGCATCTTCTCTACTCCGGCTCGCCTTAAAGGGGCCGCGGAGTTAGGTAACTTCATCAAATTAGTTAGGCCTTCAGTGTCGTAACTAGAAGCTAATCCTAACCTCTTTTGGACGAAGCTCTACATCCACAGCATGATCCTAGTTAGATTTTAGGTTCAAAGTTGCTTTGCTTCTTCTCTAAAACCAATGATATTTAATAAAAAACATTAAATTTTCGAAGAAAAAAATTATCTTAAGTATTAGTATAGATGTCCAGGTGATGGATAAACATGAACTTCGATTGTCAGTTTTCTTAATATTATACAATAATAATAACATTTATTTGTTCATACAATGCAAAAACATATATTAAAAATAGATATATACAAAATCTTTACATTTTGATTTATACTTAATTTTCTTATGTAGTGCACAAAACAAAAGAGTTAATTTACGTGTCAGTGAATGCGCATTAAGGCAGTGTAAAGGGAGAGAGAGAGAGTCAGATGTTTTTAGAAAATTGAAGGGAACAGTGAGTGGAAAAGGTGAAGAGACCTACCTGCGTTGGAGGAAACGTTAGTTCTCTCTTCTCTCTATCTCTGTAACTGCTGGAAGAAGCGGACTTATATGAAGTCTTAGAGTATTTTTGTACATTATTCAGATTTATATTAGTTAGTAAATTTTATATCAGCTTTAGGTTAGTCCGTAAGTTCTTGTTGTTTAGTTTTAAAGCAGACCCTACACGGTAATTCATGAATGAACGTCACAAGAAGTTCCAAGATTGCCCGCTATCTCTTTGATCATGAAGAGCCTTACACGTTCATTACTTATCGTTGCTGATTTAGGTTAGATCGTTGCTGACCAATTTAGCGCAGTTGTAAACAAAGAAACAGCATAGATATGCTTATTTGGACATTGTCATTTATAATATTGGGCATCAAGAGAAAAACGGAGATATAATAATTACTCCCTAGTGCCTGAAAATTGTTTAGACCAAAGTTAGTCCAAAATATAAGTCAACTACATACAAAAATCTATGAAAAGTATTGCGAAAATAATCTATTTGTTAAGAAAAATGGAAAAATTAATGGCAAATAAACACAACAGTTAAAGATTTTTTTTCTATAAGTAAATTGTGAAGTTTATTTATTAAATACAGTTGTAAATATCATTAAGACTCGAGAATGTTAATCTTTACCGAATAATAAAAATTGAAAATAAGTATGAATTTATCCAATTTATGTATCCAATTCTCCCACAGAGGCAAGTGCTTCATTTTTCATTTACTCTCCACTTCTTCCTCCACTACCTTTAACATGGATGCAACTCCGTTAAAAGTTAAACAGACAATTCTGCTTATTCTATAATTACTTTAGAGGCACATTTGATTAAGTCCAGATTACTTTGGATAGAGGCTTGAATCAACATTACAGAGCCTACGAATGCTATTAAATCAAATTGATGGAATTATATGTGAGATTGTGTGGGGGAATTGGGGGAGGCATTATGACAACTCCTTCCCGTTATCATAGAGGCTGTGGCAGTTGCCATTATGAGTGACTTCCTGCGATTGATGCTTAACAAGGGTACGGATGGTTAACTGCCGCTGGAAATGGAAGGGGACCGTTCCAACTTCTGGCTGTGCCGGAGTACAGTTACTGAGGGTGACTCTGCACCACAACAGGCCGTATAATTATTTAATATTTATATTAATATTTGAACAATTACAAAACTTAAATAATACTAAAAAAGATATATATGAATAAGAAAAAAATATATACTGCACATATTACGGTATTATAGATCCTTTTACCAGGTTTAGGAGACGTCAATTTTAATGAAACAGGTATCAAACGAAAGGGAATTTCATAGAGTATTGCCGAAGCATAATTTCAAATCTCAAAGTCTTATAATAAAAGTCATTAGAAGGTTTTAATACAGATGGTTTAAAAAAACAAAAAAAAAAACAAAGTGGAATCGAGGTAGGATAAATTGTATTTTAACGCTCACATCATGGCCCAAACATTGATTCTTTTTTAAGATATATTTCTTTAGAATTGCACTGGACTCTGCGTTTTAAATCACATAAATAATTAATAAAATAATTAAGCCCTAAAATGTACTATTATTAAGAAAACGCATGGGCTGAACCTTACCCTTATGCTAGCGATCGTAAATCTTGATACCTCGGTTGCTATGGATTTTTCACATAATCCCATAAAAATTAAAATATGATCGGTTACAAAAACTCACTAAGTGCATTATTGATATATACATTTTGACCTTATTTATCAGCACAAAAACACTGTAAGAGCATGAAAATGTCACAGAACATTTTATTAATCATGTATAGTTTGATTAAGTACACACTTTTCTGATTTCACAAAGGGAAAATTCATCAAAGTTCTTAATTATTTAAGTTTATGAAATGTCACTTAATGACTTTCTGCAATAAATCGACGATATCTACTAAGAATGTATTAGTTCTAAGTTTATTTTTTTATTTGTTTTTTGACACCAAACTTTCATTAATTATTCATAAAATCCAATAGATTGAGCTGTTACTTAAATAATATCTGATCCTGCAAGGGGGAAAATAAGCACATCCCCAAAATTCCAGGAAAAAGGATACTTTATTTATGGTGTATTACACCCAGCCACTTAGACCATACATCCCTGTCTCTTGCCAATTCCTTCATCTAACCTAGGGTTTTTCCTTTATTATCACATAGTCTCTCCTGTTTTTTTTCTAGAATTCTTCGTAAAAAAATCATTTCAACAGCGGACGCAGCTTTCGCTGCCATATAATATTGTAGGGAGATATACTGCTTTATAGAAGTGGAGTTTGACATTCGTTCCTACCTCTCTCGTTTCCACAAGTTTTATCTAAATCGATAAATTCGTTCAGGTGATAAAATCTATAGCAACATAAGTTTTTCGGCCGCCATCTTGAAAGGAACGTACAGTTTGGACTTGGAATCCAAGACTAAAGTTCAACTTCTGAGCAGACTTAACCACGTGACACATTCTTGCCCATATAACATTAATCAATCTAATTAATTGCTTATTAACTGTAATCTCAATTAACCAGGACTCTTAATCCTATTTTATATTTCATTTATTTCGAGTTCGACAAGGTTGGACATGTATAATCATTTCAACCACCAGTCATGCGGGTTTTTCAACCATATATATTGTTAGTTCTTATTGTAAAATTCAGTTAATGCTTTATTTTACTAGATTGTTTGATAGAAGTATTTATAAACTTAGAATCCTGGAATTTCTAGAATTCTATCTGGAAAAAAAATGTATAATAGGTCTTCTTTCGGACCTATATAAAATATCCAAATTATATTTATCGCTCCTCAACAATTGTTCTTTCTCTCTAAATGACTTAATACTTTTAATCCACAGCTCATTAACATCAATAAATAATCAGTATTTACAAATTTAACTTTTGAATTTTTCTATGTTTGTCCCACTGTGAATCACCAAGAGTTGACCCACACATCCCAAAATCAACGGATAACATCGTATTTTTGAGCAGATTAAAACTCTTGAATACTTTACGAAGTGATTCCAAGCGACTTTTGTAATAATTGATGCAACCAATGAATACCATATTGTAATATTGTTCTGCAGAGAAGCATAATCGATGCTGGAACCGTTCGATATTGGACGGAAAGCAGCATCTGCATGTTTCAGTGGGATTATTAAATAATTCAGATTAGAGAAACCATTGTTGCCTGCGGGATCCTTTCAATTCAATGTAGCGCATACGATACAAAATAAATATAATTCAACAAACAATTTTGTTATACTTCGCTGCGCTCATATAAAGACATAGAATCTAAAATCAATATATGCAACCAGCTATACTTAAACCTACACAAAATATTTCTCATGCTTATCAACAAAAATTAGCTTGGTACAAAATTATGTTTGCGTGAAAACACTCGATAGTAAAGTTATTTTAACCGTAATCGAATTAAAAGGAAACACCTGGAATGAATAGAAGAATTTAGGAAACAAAATGAAATAAGGAAGTTCTACTATATCATAAATACTGAAAGAAAATCTTTCCATCCTCGGACAAGTGCTTGTACAGGCTTAGATGGTAATTTAATATCAGACGGTCCAGGGGTCCTAAGTAGATGGAAGGAGCATTTTTCTGGTTGGAAATGATACGGAACAAGACATAAATACCGAATTACTTGAGGATGACATTGAGCCTCCAAACGAAGATGAAGTCCGAAGTGTGGTGGTGTGGGAGTCGTAAAATATATGCACAATGTTAATATCTCCTTCCATATAAGTCCCGTCAGCTCCTAGTTTCCTCCCTTGTTTTTCCCCACTTCGACTATGGCTGTATGGTATACGGTGGATTCTAGGGAGATTCCGAGGCCAAACTTAAACGCCTAATGAATTGCGCACTACGATTTGTTTTCGAATCTCAAGGATACATATTACCCAGTATTACACTGAGTTGAGGTGGCTCTACCCATCCTATCGCCGTCAGTACTTCCTAGCCACCTTTCTGTACCAAATCATTAGAACTCATCGACCCTCCTATATTTTTCACAGCTTACAATTCAAATACTCCATCCAATCCCGTCCCACTAGATCTCGTACTTCCGACCTCTATCCTCCTCCTCACCGAACTGCTGCGTTTGACAAATCCTTTGCAATACAAGCCGCCTCCCTCTAGAATTCCATCCCTGCTGATATTCGACACGCTCAATCAGTTTCCTCTTTCAAACCTCTCCTCTTTAAGCACCTACTCCTTTCTCAATCCGACTGACTACGAAATAAACCTAAGAGAAATATCTAAGCACCGCCAGAGACTACCTCAATTTATTAAGGTTATTTTAGTTTCTCATATATATGTACAATTTACTTGTTCTTTTCTTTATCTTTTCAGTATTTTTATCTTAAGTCAACTCTTATTGTAAATATACAATTTAATTGTAACCACACAGACATACAATCTGTATTTATATTTTGTTCTTAAGGGACAACAGTCCCAGAATAATAAAATATTTTTTTCATTTCATTTCATTCATTTCACAATTAGTTTACGATATCTGTTTATATATATATGTATGATTTTTCTCTCTCATTCTCTTTCTATCTGTATTTTTATTTTTAGTTAACTATTATTGTTTAATACTTAATTTATGTATGGCCACACTGGCATTTGCTCTGTACTTATAATTTATTCTAAAGGGACAACAATCCCTAATAATAATAAAAACATTTTCATTTCATTTTCACAGTCTATTGATGGAATCTATAATATGCTCAGTTAATTATCGTAGCATTACACTACTCTCTAGCGTGTATAAGATTTTTTCTCACAATAGTTTAGTCTCTTCGAGAGACTCCTACATATCTTTTGTTCAAGACTTCATTGGTAGGCTGGACACGGTATAAGAAGGTTTTAAAAATCAGGTTGCAAAAAATATTCTCTTAGAACAAATCCTTGACAAATGAGGAAGAGAAAGACCAAGGTTGCGGTAGATTGATAACGTATCTGCAGAGGCACGATCCATGCTAGGGGTCCAGAACTAGAACACGGCAGCGCGGAATAGCTAGTGAGCGGGTTGGACGAACGGGTGCCGCCGTTGCTCGGCAACCTGATTTATGAGTGATAAATAAAAAATTTTAAAAAAATTTTGGGAATAGTCTCAAAAATTCACTCGAAAAAATCCCAGGTGTTTTAGTAGCAAAAGACCAAATTGGTTCCATGTGATTTTGTGGTCAATCGAATAAACATATCACCTACTGACGTTAATCGTATTTTGAAGATATTTCCAGGGATTTTATAGGATTAGTACCTAAATGGTCTAATTTTAATGTCATCAAATTCAATCTAAAACTTTTCCGTGACGAAAAATACGCAAACGTATTTTCATCAATATACCTTCATCAATACTTTAAGAACATCGCGTTAGATTTTTCTCATAACTAGATATATAAATATATCTATATATATATATATATATTTAAACTTACCTATTTAATTGGGAATAAGGTCACTTAATTATTATTTAATAAACTATTGAATGTTCATTTCTTCTGTTGATTGACGTTTCGATCCGGTATTTTCTTTTTATTAGTCAACCATGGGATCCTCTTCAAAGCTAGAACTACCTTCAAAGCTAGCTCAATCGGTACACAATATTACTTCCATATCTCTTTAATAACAATTATTTAAAAATGTTTAACCTACTTTTAAAAAATAGAGTTTCGATCAGGCCAGGGACACACCGACAGTCTCAGCACCGTCCACTAGCACATATATTAAGCTACTGGATCGCTAAGCTAAGGAAAAGTTGTAAAAATATATATACATATATATATATTGCGTATCGGTATATTTGACAATATTTTAACATATTTTCATTTTTATTTAAAGATATGAGGCAAACTCTCCATGTTCTTCGAATTTGCCGCGAAAAATGGGATAAAATCTTCACGTAAAAATGGAAGGATGCACATGAATAAATCATAAAATCCATGAATATGTTTTGCTAGATATTATTATCTTTGAATATAAAATAAAGTTTTAATAATAGGAACATATAACGTAGTAAAATACTTACGTCTTCCTTCTAGGCTTTAGCCTAGTCATCTAGTCGATTTTTTTCTATTTTCTTAATTGAATATCGTTTATGTATTTTATTCATTCATGAAAATTAAATATTATTGATTTTTATATTATTTTTGTATTTAGAAATATTGGGGGGAGGAGGAGACACGAAATGATATTTTCGCCCCTTCTTTTTTTATGAAGAGGGGATTGCCGTCCTCGACCCTCCTCCCTCTCCAGAAGTCTGCGCCTATGGTACTTGCAGTTATTAATGCAATGAAGAAAAATATTTCTGGAGTGGGTGTACATTCCCAAAATTCTGTACAAAAAAACGTGTATAAAATAAATAAGATATAGCTCTATAATGTTTAATAATCTTTATATGAGTATATTTTATTGAAATATATTAATGATCTTTATACTTATCAATAGTGTTATTCATATCAGCACATCTCTTCGTTAATTTTCGATTTAATCCAATGATTGAGTCATCGTTTTGAGAATACTCAAAAAGTATACGAATTATAAATCCAGTTGGTGTATATCCAAGATAATTAATAAGTTTTAAAAATCCGCAATAAAAGAGAGAAAAAAATCATTGAAATCTGTCCACTTTTAACAAGGATCTAGCCTTGTTGTAATATTAATATATTTTGTTTTATTATTTTGCCCACTGGCCAATATACTGTGGAAAATATTAGCAATTATTTACTATGCAAGTTAAAAAAAAAAAAGACGCCTAAATAAAAACACACACCTCTGCAACTTATTACACAGTAGTATATTTTTTATGTTTTCCTTGTTTCCTCTATATTTATCAATGAATGGAATTCGAATGCATAAAATGAAATCTGTCACCATTATTGAATAAAACATTTTCAATTGTTATTATTATATTCATTTCCCCGTTCATATGTATCCAAATATGCGAATTTGTGATATAATTAAAAACAAAAACGAACATTGATATATAAAAGAATTTTTTTTTTTATGTATTCTAAAAGGTTACCGGATAAGAGTAAATACACTTCATCCAAAAACAAAAATCTCGAGTGTCCACTCAAACGACTTTCCTAACAATTTCAGAAAAGTACTTATATCTTTGCATATGTCCATCAAGAAACAAAAAAAAAAATTGAATTTGATTTATTTTCCTAAAAATTGATCCAGAAAAGGATTTAAGTAAGATTTATTTAATAAACAAAAGCAATGTAAACTGGCTTAAGGTAGATCAGTTTAAAAAAATCAATATCCTTTAATATTGCCGATCAAAAACTTTTTGGCATAGTTTAATTTTGTCAAACAATAATTTCTGTTAAAATTAGGAAAATAGTGAAGCTTGTGTGATGCGGACAACAGATTTTCTTAGTTTCACTTAGTAACCCGTAATCTTACACTGGAAATTGAATAGCTGTAACTTCGTTAATAGTTGTCCGAAATGAACAATTTTTATATAGTTTTGTAGGGAATTCCATTACCTTTCAAAAGTTTTATTATAAATTTTACAATAGAATATATACTTAGCGAGTTAGGCCTCAAAACATTTTTCTCTTCTTAATAACTTTTTTTCCTGAATTGTTTCGGGAATTTAGCTCATGTACGAAAATTGAAAGAACAATTATTAGAACATTATAGAAAAGTTTTATCAAAATTGCTAGAACCGTTTTCGCGCTAAAGTAATAGAAAAACATTTTTTTAAATTATTGCGCAGCAGCTATTGTGCATAGAGCACCCAATTTGTGTCACAGGCATCAGTAGTCAAACCACCTACAAAATAAAAAAAAGAAGAAAAAAAAAATAGGTTCACTAGTTCCTGCGAAAATTTTGGCACAGACAGACAGACAAACCAATGGCTAAAGATATGTTTTTAAAACTCTGAAACCTATGTATCTGGGAAAACAGCATATTGGAAATTTGATCCTATCTCAATACTTTCCTCACCTAGTATAGGTAGGAAAGTAAATAACCTGTATCACTACAACCCATAAATGATTTGAGTTCAGTACTTAGTTAGGAAGTACTGTTTCAAGGCCAACGGTTGTCCAGAGAGGTGATCGGACTATGATCACGCTAATCACCAGGTTTTCCCCCTTAATTAATTATTTAATTAAGAGTAGCCACTTCATAGAGGCTAGGTGTGCCCCAGAAGATCTCAGGATCGTTCTACGGCTTATAAAAAATTATTTGACTGCCGAATTCGAATCCGGGACCTTGAGCATGGCAGGCCAGTGAATAACTCACTGAGCTTTTCTGCTCCTAACACTTCATCGAAGCTAGAAAGAAATCATAAAATACCTTATGATGTAATTTAATGACGGCGCAAAGTCAAAGACCCCTTTTGCAAAAAATGGCTTCACTTTGATCCTGGTAATTCCCAATCCGGTTATTTCGAATTACATCTCTTGGGTTTTCTTCTTACAAGATTTGAGAACTAAAGGCTTTGGGGAAATCAGACAAAAGAGAACCTGAAGAAGAATTATACTGCTCCCATTAGTTATTAAAAAATAAAGGGCGTTGTGACGAAAGATGGTTATATTCGAGATTTTAATTAAATGGAATTGTATAATTAACAGAGAAAACAAGAGGCAAATTTTAAATTATATAACTCTTGGGTAGCCCATTAAGACCGAAGCGATCAATATGAATGAAATATGCCACAGTTAATAAATTAAAATAAGTTTATATCTTGATAAACGTTATCAAGGATTGTGTAACAAGTGAATATTTAAAAATTATTACGTTAGGTGTTAGTACTGAAAACCATCGTGGATAACAATTAAACATTACTTAATATTATTTTCGAAAAATTCGAAATTTTATTTCGAAAAATATAGTAAATATAAAACGGAGATTTTTTCATGTATATATTTTTTATTTTATTTATTTATTTATATGATATTTACAACTGTATACAAAAAATACTTCTAGTAAATTCGCACATGGATATAATGACATGAAACACATGTTGAGAAACTACCAATTGGTAGCTCTCTAATACTATGTCTATATTAGGAGATCACGTGGCCATCTCCTTTTCAGACGCCTCAGAGGGTTATCAGGAATTGAATAGGAAGCAAGGTTAGAAACAAAAGGGTTGGGCTGGTTATGAAGTTTATTATGGAAGGATAGGTACCTGGATTCGGTCAAATCGGAAACATATGGAACATTGAGGTTTTTACGAAGGATTTTGGATTGTAAAGATTGTATACGAGAGGAATTTGATGGTTTAGTGGAGCCCCATAGCTCAGCTCCATAAGTCCAAAAAGGTCTTATTATAGTCATGTATATGAGTCGTTTGTAATTAATGGGAAGTTTAGAGCGTTTGTCCAGTAAGTGTTGGAGTAAGCGGAAACGTCGAGCAGTTTCTTGTCATTTCAGTCTGGTATGAGGATTCCAAGTGAGACGTTTGTCTAGCTGGAGTCCAAGGTATCGGATTTGTTCTACAGGGATAAGTGGGGAGTTATTAAAGGATACTATAGGACAGCAAGTCATATGTATATATAATTTCAAAAACATTTTTTTTTTATTACTATTTTCAGATGCTCCTCTTTATGTTGTATATTAACCAACTTATAAAAACCAAAATACGGTTGTAGTAAAATACGATTTTTTACATAAAACCAAGACTGGTTGGTTTTTAGCGTCTTAAAACGATAAATAACGAATTTTCTTACGAATGAAAAAAAAAAGGGGAAAAAGGAATGCATTTTTTTTTTTTTTTTTTTTGTCGGCTCTTGATACTTCGGACATTTATTTCAATACTTATAACTCATCAGGAATTTATCTGAATTTTAAATTACTAAAATCATTCGAAAAAAATAACAACTAAAAAAAAAAAAAAATGTTTGAGGATTTTTCCTTTTTTTCACATTGCTTTTTCTCTCTTGAAAAATAATTTAGTTAGTATGGGTAAAAAGAGAAGAAATTCGAGTACCGAACTTAAACGTTGGATATTCTAACGCAATTAATGTAATAAACGTGAATTAATGTAAGAACTGTTGGAATTGTTTTACGGAGAGATGTGTATTTGGACAGGAAAGGAGAACATGGTTGTCATTGGCAAGAGCATTAGCGAGAGTCCAAGATGTTTATTTTAAAGAGATGGGATGGCAGGCTATTGTGGATGAGGCGAAGGCGTAATATGGAAGTTAGCAATTTTCTGGAAGCTTTGTAGAGTCGGAACCAAGGAAATCCTTGGATTTGAGATTGGACAACTCTATAATAACGGCATTTTATGCTGGTAGAGTACTCTTTTAGTACTGGTAGAGTACTCTTTTAATGCTGGTAGAGTACTAGCCAGTATTTATTTATACGAACCTAAGTATCTCTCGATGACACATACGGTCGACGTGCATGTCGTGTGCATGTACAAGCCGCTTCTCAAACCAGCTTTCAACCATATGGCTAAATACGATACTATTATGGCATTTCATCCAAATAATATGTGCATTTATGCTGCTATTAACTAACTGGCATGGTATATTAAATACTAGCTGATATACCCATTGTTGACGGGTGTATAGTTAAAATTTGAGAATCTTTTTTGAGATAAATTTTGTAATCTGGGGGGAGGGTCCAAATTCAATTGCATAAAATTGGGTCGGGAGGGGGGAGGAGGGTTGTTTTGAAATTTTTTATGGCGGGGCTTATGGAAGTCAAGGTTATTCGGCTATTTGTTTAGGTGACACACAACTAAACCGACCAAGTGTTTAATTTTCATTTATGATGAAGCGAGGAGATTGTGGAGTTAATTAATTAATCAAAAAGAGTTGTAGTCTCTCCACTTCTTAAAACTCTGCTGAGTTTATCACTGGTTAAATAATATTGGACATTGAGTCACCTACATCCGTGTAAAATTGGAACTTGATCTGAATATTGTGGATGAATTAATGGGGTGAATTTTTTCCCCTAATTTCCGGCTAATCCGTTTGGTTAATCCTAAAAATGTATAAGGCAACATTTGTTGGGTTTGGAATGTTGAATCGAATGACACCTTGAAGAGGAAGATCAAAGTTGAAAAATGAGCGTGTTTTATGAGTTTTTACGGGTTTTATGCCACAACGCGTTTCAGATGTTCGGTATTCTGGATATTTCCCGTTGAGTTCTGATAATTTTTTTCATCAGTTAAGTAATAGAAATTTTAAATGCGGCTCGCGATAGATAAGGTTGAGATGGGAATCGAAGTAATTAACTGGCTGACCGGGATCTCCAGACAAATTACTCAAGAATTCATAACTTTTTTTCTAATCAATATTTTGTTTTCATTTAAAGCCTATATTTTAAATCAAGCAAACCTAAATGCAATGTCAAAATGGAATTGAAAAGTCTACCATTAACCATTGCCGAGCTTCCTTCTG